AAATTTGGAACGTGCTTACTTCAAGATGTGGAATTTGTACTGCTCTGGTCAACATCCTCAACACTTCAAAGTTTGTGAGAACGACTCGGAATTTCCTTATGATCGGTAGATGTATAGTAAAAGAAAAAGGGGATTGTAGATAAAGCCAAGAAACATAATGGAGAATATCTGAAGGTCTCGACAGTTGGTTGATGGACTTTCTTGTATCAGTTAACTACATGTACTTTGAAGTTGGTGTTGTCATTGTATCAAAGTGAAAATATAAAATATATGTCTGTCGCATGTGGTGATATATCCATTAGGATCTGCTGGATACCTTGGTTGTTTCCTCATTTATCGGACTTGTAAGTTGTGTTTATTTGGATGCTGAGCCCAGGCGACTTAATGAGTAATACATTAACAGAAAAACGAAGGAAAAGTTGTTTTTTATTTATTTCCTTCAAGACATATTAATACAAACTGTTTGAAACTGAAGCTCCATATATTAATGCATAGGCTCATTCTGAGCAACAGCACCTACTGTTGTTTTGAAGCCACAGTAGTTGTATATATCAATATATTAGCATAAATGATCGTAGAATTGTGAATGGAAAACTGAAAACGGGAGCAATTAAATAGGGTAAATTTTATAATTATCGTATTCAGTGATGGATCTAGGAATTTCACTCAGAAGAGCTCGATTTTAAATGTTATAACGAGCTTGTAGTTAAGTTAAAATGTTCATTTCACATAAAAATGTATTTAATATAAATATAAATATCAATATGTGTAAGTTTTTAAAACTTAGAATCTGTATCACACTCAAACTTTTAGAAAAAAAAAAAAAAAATGAGATGAAAATGTATTTATAACCAAGGTTGTCAGAACTGGACCGTTCATCGAACCGGTCGAGTCACTGGTTCAATGATTTATTGGTCGGACCAGTGGTTGCACCGATTGGATCGGTATTTAATATATTAATATTTTAAAATATATATAATATTATATATATTAAATTATATATAAAAACATAATTAATTAAATATTTAGATAATTTAAAATATTAAAATGCTTAAAACATACTCATAAATAGTTCATAGATATTCATTATGCTTACAGACTATGAGATATTGGACTAAACATATATAAGATATTGTAAAATATTTTATTTGACATAGAAGGTAGATATAAGAAACACAATTAATATAATACAAATATATTATTTCCTCAAAATAGTAATGAAATTCTTTAAGCCCGTTAAGTTAAAATATATCTAATATTACTATACTACAAATATGTCATTACCTCTAACGTAAATTGTTAAATTTCTAGGCCATCAAGCCTCTTAAACCTACTAGAATAGTTTGCAATAGAATATTTGTTATTTATTTATTCTTCTTTCTTAAATATTGTACATAATTACTAGATCTGCAGATCTGCTCACGTTACTTTCTCTTCCATGGTTCTTCCGTCTTCGTCTTCCACCCTTCTTGCAGACTGCCGCAAGAAAGAAAGAGCAAATTTTTTCAACCCTATTTCAAAAATCAAAGTTTGAATAGAGAATTCATCTTCCAGATCTAGTTGGAGTTGGTCGACAATCTTAGCTGTTTTTTTTGGATCCTTGGAACTGCGAATCTGATATGCTTTAGTCTAGCCAATCCAAATCGATTGAATTCATAAAATCGTAATTCTTCTATTTTTCGTTTTTTTGGAATTGGGAATTTTTTCTCAGCCGGTAAACCGCCGGAACGGTACCGGTCCGCCGGTTTAACCGCTTCTTGACCGGTTCTTGCGGTTAATGGCGTAATCCGGTTTTTACTGAAGGACCGGACCGATAAGAAGCCCGGTTCCTGGTTGAACCGGTCGAACCGGCCGGTTCGGTCCGATTCTGATAACCTTGTTTATAACTTAAGCTCAACATCTATAATTCATGGAAAAATAGGTTTTTTATTGAAAAATTGATTTAAATTGAACTCTTGCAGCACATTGCATAATATTTTTGTTGCGTGTTTATTAAATGAATATTTTTTTTAAAAAATAAAAAATAAATATAAAAATATGTGATTAGACACACAAAAAAAGAATAACAAAATCAACATTAAAATATGTAATAGTCCAACTAAATTAAAAAATTTAAATAGTGAGTTACATAAATCACTAAATTAATTTACATTTAAGAGGCTAAAAGAGTATATGATTATAATATTCTTAAAAATTTATCTAGAAATATAAAATATAAGAATTGTTAATAATTTTTTTAATAAATAAATAATATTATTAATTTAAATTAAAACATATAAAAAATAAGTTTTAATTATTAATATATTGTAAATATTTTTTATATTTCTANTGAGCTTAAAACACTAGAACTACAATTTACAGATGTAAAATGAAAAGAACAACTAAGAAAGGAACTAGCAAGTCAATTGACATCATCAACTATAACATTGACTTCATAGGTAAATGAAACCTTTTCCTTATTTTCAACACCAAGTTCTTGTTGTTGAGGCAGCAACAAATTCCATCAATATTTCTTCTCTTGCCCTCTTCTAGTACCCATCTGAGTGTCCTCAGCCACGTTTCTTCATGAGGGCCTAAAAACTTCTTGGCTCCAGACCAAGTATCCCAAGTTTTGCCATCCTTCCATAGTGTTCCTTTCATTCCAATCCAGCCCCTTTTAGAAGAGTGGGCATTGACAATAAGTATCTGTCCTACCCCAAATTCAGACTCTTCCTCAAGTGTAGATTTAGGATACCATCTCCTTTCAGCAATGATTTATCACACTCCATAGCAACTACGTATTCCCCCCATTCACCTCTTGCTCCTCTTACAATGTCCTCTTCATTGACCTACTTTTTCTGAAACACCCACAATTTTGTAGTCTTCCAGAGCTACCATAACAGGTAGGCTGAAAGACTAGTTCTATCAGACATGTGATGTTGTGTATCTGCAGTGCTAATGTAGTGCCACCAATCTATGGAGTTGTACTGAATTTGGTCTGTTCCACTCCAATTGATTCCCATCTACTTCCAGCATAGTGCGGCCCTTTGACATTTGAAGAACAAGTGCTGAATATCTTCCATACCTTCTCCATAAATCTCACACCTCTCATCTTCTTGTAGCCCCTTCCTTGTCAAATGACGTTTGATACTCAGATAGCCATGTCACATTCTCCTTAAAGTTTTTGACCTTGTTTTTCAACTTTAATCCCCATGTTCCTGCCACATTCTCTTCTTTGCTTTGCACTCTTGGCTTGTATTCACAATCCTATAGGATTTCTCATTTTGAGTCATAAGCAACTCATAGACAATTTTCAGTGAAAATTGACCTTTCTTGTCCAATGCCAGATGAGTTTGTCTCTAGTGCCACATTGACTTAGAGGGATCTTCAAGATTTCCTCTGCAATAAATGGATAAAAGGTTTGTAGAACTAAATCTCTATCCCAACTGTTCTCTCCCTGCAAAATGAACTCACCAACTCTAGAATATCTCTCTTTGTCACCCAAGAACAGGGGAGGGGGTAAAGTTTTTAATTGAAGGGATCAATGGAGAATCCCAAACATGAATGACATTCCCATTACCCACATGAAACCTAACACGTAACTTAAGAGTTTTTCTAGCCTCTAGCCAACTTTTCCAAAGAAAGGAATCTAAACTCTTGGGTTTAACATCCACTAGTTTCTTTTTCCAGAAATACATTTATTGTTATGTGAGAATTAACAACGACAATAACGACTAATTTTTGAATGACAAACGTTGTAAAGTGCTGTAAGTTGCATATTATCGTAAGATTAAGTGATTGCGGGAAGTTGGTTTTCTTGTGAACCGAGCTATTTTTTCATGTGAGTATTGAATATTCGAAAAAGGATCTTTGTACAAGAATAAATTCCGCTATATATAATAACTTTTGATGGCTCGGTGGTCGAGGCTGGTACGGCCGAATTAAATGCAAAGCCACTTTATGGAGGCGGTGATTCTTCAGGTGGACCCGTGGATCATAATTGCGTCATGTGTGAAGGGCAGTTTAAACAGTGGGTCGCGTAGACGCCTTGTCACCTGCTTACGAGCTCGGTCAGTTGCGCAAGTCGGTTAAGCGGCGCAGGTGATGTCGGTTCCTTGCTTGATCTTGTACCGAGTTCATCCTACTTTGGACTTATTCTGGATTAGTGTATGTTTACTCTGTATATCTTCGGATTTAATCCCTCGCCAAATCGGTTGTCAACATAGAGGCATTTGACATTAGTAGGCATACGGGCAGTGATGGCTACTGATGTCGCTTTTGTTTTTATGGAATCCGACCTGGGATGCCTTTTATGTTCATTCTGATGCCTACCAGTATGCCGACGTCCGGACACTTGTGCAAAATTTTGGCCCCCACTTCTCTAATGTGAAGCGGCATAACGGCTACTAACAAATGTGATGGTTCATGAAAGGGCGTGCTTGTATTTAATGAATATAACGAATACAAAGAACAATTCCACGTGTTCGATGAAGATTGGTGCGCAGGTGGAAAGGCGCAGCTTGTTGTTTGGGGGAAGCGTATAATGCACGTGCCCCTCTTTTCGCCCAACGGTCACAAGAACTTCATATAAGTACTGGATATTTTCGACTTCAAAGGGTTTCACCTTTGCACCTTTTGAATTCTTGCACTCTTGAATTTCCTTGGTTTCTTCTCGTTGTTTTCTTGTGATTAAGTTATTCTCGCTAATCCATTCAATTTCTCTAGCTAGGGTTTTTGCTTTTTGGTAAGCGTTCGCCTTGATTTTGATGTTCTCTTGCTTTTAAGTTAAAAGTTCCTCAATTCTTTGTTAAAAATGGCGTCTTCGAACATGGGTGAAGTTGCGTCTAGCAGTAGTAAGATGGTTTCCGAGGAGATGCTCCATTTGGAATTGGCACACGAATACTATCGTTGGGACCCTGTATTTGTCGAAGGCCCGTTCATTAAAAGTAATAATTTTGAAGGTTATCGTGAGGTAGAAAGTGATGTAATCTACCAGGAAGGTTATTGGAGGCGGCCTGCGCGTCAATGTCCAGATCCTGGCGTCGGATATGCGAAAGCTTGCCTTGGTCGGGCTTTAGTTAGTCTGATTGCAACAGAGGATGACTATCGACTCAATGCAGCCGAGTTAGACGAAAAGAATGACACGCTGGAACTGCGTGATGGAACAATCGCCTCCTTGCAAGAGAAGTCGGCCAAGTCGGAGGCCGCATGGAAAGAGAAGGTGGCCGTTGTAGTTATTTTTACCGGAGTTAAACTAAAGGATTCAATTCCCGGGTCGTGTCTCAAGGAAGGTTAGCCGGATTAATTTGTACGATAATTCAATCATACAAAGGAGAAAACAAATTTCTAAACACTCTAATTCAATAGGTTGGGTTTTTAATTAATGAGTACGAATTATAAAATATAGCAAAACAAGCTTCAAATTCCAACGAGGTTTAAATTATGATACGAGGGTTAGGGAGTCGGAGATATTCGTTTATGGTTCTCAAGCAATCAATGAGCATACAGTCGCTCGGTTAAGGAACCAAATAACCTACTCGCCTAGAGGTTTATTCTCAATAACATCTCGTAACAAGAGAACAAACATGAACAAGTTGATTATTGAAACACTTAACACATAGGCAATACATTAACGGACAAGCCTATTCCAAACGAGCCAAGATCAATCAATTTCTCCCCTCCAGTTCTACAAATCGATTAATTAGATTATGATGTTGATCAAGTATCTAACCCTAGAATGAGCACAACTCGAATAGATTGAATGACAAACAACACATTAAACTCAATCGAACCCAAACAACCTTTCCCTAACCAAATGATTTAGCCACTCATATTGATATCAACCATGAAGTTTGATACTTGTAATCCAAGTATCCAGAGTTGCATACAATTTAACCAAACTGAATTAAATGAAGATTCAAACAATTGCGGAAGCAGTTTCACTGAAAATTGAACCTTCAGGAGAGTGTCCCACTCTCCCTTCGGATCTCTTTTATTAATGCAAACGTCTCAAACACTCTTCAAGGGTTTACAGTATAGACTCCCTCTACACTCTACTTGAACAGTGATTTGCACTACTACTTATCCGACCACAAATTCCTTGTGGCTTTTCTAGTTCGAATCCCTCAAACTATAACAGAATGAACCTCCGAACACTCTGTTTAATTTCTCACAAATAATGCATTCGGACTATAAACCCTTCACTCAGAAAATAGAAACATAAGATAATCAAAGATGCAAAAGTTGTCCTCAACATGTGTCTCGTCTTCCTTTTATATACAAGCTACGTATGGTAAGTCCCCTCTTTAGCTTTCCCTCCAAGTAAGGATGCTCATAAGGTAAATCTTTTGTTTTCCAAGGTCCGCGATCTCTCCTTCATGAATATGGAAAATGAATCTCGAGCTTAATCCCAAAGTCCTGCCATCACAATTATGAATTATCAATAATCAACTCTAATTAGCAAACTCGTTTAAGCAATTTAAATCAAACTTCCCTTATATATAGTCTTGCGATTGTCTGAATCCTGGGAACTCAAGAAGGTTCGTTGATTTATTGCCAATCTTCAGAACTTACAATCTCCCCCTTTGGCAGATAAATCGAAAACCATTTCCTTGAACCCTTCATCATCAGTCTCCTCAGCAGAAACTTCTTCAGAACCATCCTCCGTCTCTTCCTCAGTAGCTGCATCCTCTTCATCATCCTCTACATCAGAACCTGCTTCATTTTCTTCGGCGTCTGAACCTTCATCTATTTCCAGAGCCTTTGACTTCTCCTTGGTAGCAACAAGAACAACCTTTTCCTTCACTTTTTCCGTGACAGCAGCACTCCTTGAGTTCTCCCCCGTAGTCCCAGCAGGTACTTTCTTCTTTCCAGCATCTTTCTTTATCTCCCCCTTTTTCGATTTAGGTACTGAAGGGGCCCATGACTTCAAAGCACCTAGAACCTCCTTATAGTACTTTCGTTGATCAGCCAGCTTCTTTTCAAGCTCAGAGAGAACTGCCATTTGTTGATTCAAAAAACCGCATAGTTGGGAAGGCACTTCAGAGGCCTTCACAAAGGAACGTCGAGGAGGAGCAGTCTTAACACCAGCAAGTGCAAGAGGCTTGAGGGTAGGGGAGAAATTATCACCCACACGTGGGTCCATTTTCACACCAGCCTTGAAGAGAATGGCACAAATGGTAGATGGATAGAGCAACAATTTGTGGGGCTTGGAGATCTCAGTAAACGATACCACGATATAAAAAATAACAGAACCAATGCCAAAGGGAACACCATTGAGAATGCGATAGATAACTCGAGCCTGAGTAGGAGTCACAAACTGTTTGTGAGAGGTCGGTGTCCAGTTCGACGCTCCTATCTTCTGTAGAGCATTTGCTGGCGGAGTTAGACTCTTCACAAAGAGTCCCGGAGCAAACCATTTATTCAATTGCCCACCAGTCAAGGTGTGAGCAACTACATTGAGATCATCAGTCAATGGAGAAAGAGAAGAACCTTAAGCCAAACCAAGTACAAAGTTCACAATAGATGGAGAGAACTCAATGATGCTATTTCGCACAAAAACCTTGTGAAACTTCATCGAAGTGGGGTAAAAAACAGAGACAAACAGGTTTGAGTAGAATTCACACACAAGTTGCGGGCAATATTTTCCAACAGACGTGACCGAGCCTTCAAGCCCAACTTTTTTTCAGAAGTTTAAGCAACCCAAGTTGCTCAAAATGTTTACCAACAATTGTCCGTTCAGGACGAAATTTCATTTGGGAGAATATGGTAGAGAAGCGAGTCTCAGACACAGGAGAATAAAATTGACGGGAAAAAGTGTTACCAACAGCAAGAGAACTATTTGGACCTTCACCTTCGATCTCATCAGCAGCTTTTTCTTCAACAGCAGGAGAGAGTTCATTGAGAGCAGCACGGTTGTTGTCTGATTTGTCAGGTTCAACAACATAATTTGCAATTTCTTTCTCTGAAGAATCATCATCAGACTCCGGGGATGACTCTCCTTTAGACTTCGTGACAGAAGTAGTACCAGTAGGAGGTTCAGGCACAAGAACGGTCTTTTTCGCCTTTTTGGGTTTTTCTCCAGAGGGTACTGGGACCTTCTTGCGCTTCTTCGGAGATTTGGCAGCGGAAGGAGATCTTTTGCCTTTCTCGCTGGTACCGCCAACTTTGGGTTGCACGGTCTTCGTTGTAGAGGACTTCTTAGGGCTTGCAGCTTGGTCAGAGGGTTGAATTTTGTCGGTTGCCATATCATAGGGAGTCGGATTTGGTGGAGTTTCAGTGCTTTGAATTTGACGAGTTGAACGCCGAGAGGGTTGAGGAACATTATTCTTCGGCTTCACTTTTTCCTGTTTGGATTTAGGCATGGTTTCGAAAGAGAAGAGCTTCACACAAGTAAGGAATGTTAGTTGAATTTTTGGAGAGATGAGAGAAATCTGCGATTTGATATGAGAGAGAGATGAGAGACGGTGATATGATAGATATGGGAAAAAGCAATTTCAGTTACCGAGGTGAATTATACGAGACGGTTCTGTTGGATAATTTGAATTTCAAAATTTTGCCCAACACTTTAAACAAGAAATAAACAGTTCCCTCCAAAATAGAAGATCCACTTACCAAATATTCTCGACATAACTACCATATATACGCATGAAGTTTCAGAAGAAAATATGGTCAGAATAATGTAACAAAAATAATTTATGCACTCTTTTGAAACTGAATCAATCTTAAGAAAACCTTGATGCACATGCCTAAATAAAATATTTATCAAACATTACCCAAGTAACTCCTAATCATGCAATATTGAAAAATCCATTAACCGATTAATCCACAAATTTTTCTAAATCAATTTGAAACGAGCTCGACACTATTACAATGGCAAGAAATCAAGATGCTCTTCAAGCACGACTCAACCCTTATACCTCCAACCTTGATATAACGCGGAATTAATATAAGTTCATTCATCACTTTCTCTTAGCAAAAAACGAAATTTCCGTTCGCAATTCAGCTTCAATACTTATGATGAACTAACTCCATTCTATGAACTTCCACACCAATTCACTTACTAACATCAACTATACGCCAATGTCAAGCCCATTACTTGAGGTGTGAATCATCCCGAAAAAAGTTTTATTTAGAACATGCTGAGAAGATATGAGGATGACCAGCCTTATTTCATCAATGAACTTTCATTATTAAGAATGACTACTCGTAGCTATCACACCTCGATTATTGTTAAGCACGTAACTCGTTTTACAGGTGATCAAGGAAACACCTCATGCGATAGTTGCTCGATGCTTATTTTCACGAGTGCAGCTCTTACAAGTATGTTTAAATGATCACCATGACGAGCTCCACAAAACTGACCAGTTAGAATCCATAGACCACCAATCAACAAATTCGACAATAAAGAATTCAAAGAAGCTTCTAAGGATGAACCTACATACTACAATGCCTAAATGCAAAAAGTATCCTATATGCGACACTAATATAGATATATACAAATGCAACTGACACTAATGCATAGATATTATATAGCACACATTCCTAAGGATTTCTTTAGAGAGAAAAAACGTTTCGATAAAGTGCTTTTGTGAAAATGTCAGCAAGCTGATCATCTGTAGGTACATGATCCAACACAATACTTCCATCTTCTACCAAATTACGAATAAAGTGATATCGAATGTCAATATGTTTGGTACGAGAATGTTGGACAGGATTTTTTGAAATATTTATAGCACTAGTGTTGTCACAAAAGGT